AATCTTTGCTTATTGTAACAGGCTTTTATTTCCAGGTAACATGTCTGTGGAAGACTTAATTCTGAATAGAGATAGAGATATTACTGGAAACTAATTGTTTTTTCTATTATACTCTGCTTTATCAAAAAAGTAAAACATTTAAATTGTGCTACGGAAATTCAGATGTTGTCTTGCGATCTTTAAACAATAAATGAATGATTTCCCCCTTAATATGGCTGATGTATTCTGTGTCATGTTATACTGTGTTGGACAGAATAGTAGGGTAATCCCGCGAGGAAACACACACTGAGTAGCTCCAAACAACGTGAAAGAACCATATTTCTCTACTGTGGCTAAGATCTTAAGATTATTTTGTTTTCTCGGCTAAGTGTGGTGAAGAGATGGCGTTGGTATATGATCCAGTAATTAATCAACTTTTTTTAATTGCCAGAGAGAGGGAGGGGGATAAAACACCTCCTAGTGGGGCGAAGTCACACCACAATCCCTTCTCTATCTATCCTATCATGAATTTTGGGCATGTACACACATGTGCCTAGCATGTTTTGCAAGCCACCGGGATAGGGACTCCCAACTGTAATCAGCTGTTGTGGAATGTGGCTCCCTTAACTACTAGGCAGTGGGCCTACCTGGTATATGATTCATTAATAAGACAGCAAAGCAAAGCCTGTGATCTCCAACATATCCATTCATGCTTTCTCATTTTTTGCTTACAACCACTTTGACTTCATTTACCCTTATTGTATCATTCTCTTTGTGGACTGCCCTTTCCTTGGCTTTTGAGGTCAAACATTATTTTCTTTCCTGCTTTTTACAGTGATTGATTGAACTCAGCCAAGAGGAGTATGAGGAAGGAGAATATCAGTAGATCAGGGATCAGAATAGGCAATTTGGCTGCTGATTTTCTCAGTGACTGAAGGGAAATCTTTTTTTTTTTTTTTTAAATTTGTCATAGGGCATGTGCACTCCCAGTGAGAGAAAGCACTCCCCAATAGGGTATGTTCATACCACAGTCCCCTCTCTATTTTTCCATCCTTTTGGGATTTGGGGCACACGTGCACACATGACCAGTGTTTGACCCCCCTCCCCCCCCAAGGCGAAGAGCCAAGATTTGAACTCAAGGTTGTCCCTATAGGATCTGGCTCTCTTAAGCCATGGGGCAGCCTGAAAACTTTTTTTTTTTTTTTTTTGCCCAGTAAAATCTCAGGTAATTAATTTCCTAACTTCTGTTGTTGGGCCTTTAAAATCCTAATGTGGATTTCATGTTTGTTTCTTTTCTTTTTTTAAAAAAATTCTTTATTATTATTTAATTTGACCAGAGAGAGAGGGTGGGGGGAGTGAGAAAGCAAGCTGCCAGGTCCAGGATTCGAACCACGGTTGGCCATGTGGGAGTCCAGCACTTTAACCACTGTGCCACCTGCCGACCCCTCATGTTCGTTTCTTAAAAGATGGTGTGGAAAGATGTCTAGTAGCCTATTCATAAGTTTTACTCCTCCCTCTTCTATTGGGTCATCGGAAAAGTCATGATGTATTTTTGTTTTTCTATGCAAAAATGCGCCATGACTTTTCCAATGACCCAGTGTTAAGAATCTGCATCTGTTATTTCCAGCCTTCAGCTTCTCCTACCTTCAGTCTTAAATAGTTTTCTGTACAGTTTGAATAAAGTTGTGTAACTTCTGCACTCCCTGTTTTCAGACTTAATTCCAATTTGAACCCACTCTTTTACTTGAAGCATGTACCTTTTAAGTACAGCTAACGTTTAGATTGTTTGGTCAAACCTCTGAGGCACACAGTTATTTAATCCCTACTTTTATAGAATAGGCTTGTAGAGGTTAATTTGCAAGTATGTTATAGAAATAGAATTATAATCATAAACTACTTTTATCCAATTCCCTTTGAACTCAGTCTCAGTCTCTATATTTATGTACACTGGTACACTGACGCTTAAGAGTAGGTTTTAGAGCCCAGTACTGTTGTACTGTTGAGTCTCAGCTCTCACTTTCTGGATGTGATTTCTGTAAAATGAGAGCACTAAGGTCATATACTCAAAAAGTACAGATTTTAATAGATTTTAAGTACTCTTAAAAATGTAAGGATTAAACCCACTTAAAACACTTGGAATTATGCCTACCGTAAAATAATCTCAACCTCAAATGCAGGGGCAATGTATTCTGTTGACCACATGCTTAAATTATGAAGTGAATGAGCATCTGTCTGAAAGGCGGTGTATTTGCTTCCTTGTTCTGTTTTCTTGCTGTGTTGCGAGCGCCAACAGGCTTCAAGCAACTGACCCCTTTATCTCCAGTGCATGGAGGGTTCTGGAAGCTGGAGACATAGTTCAGTGTTGGGTTGCTGCCTTGTTCTTATCTGGGAGTCTAAGTGTCCTTCCTGCAGCCTCCCCTGCCTCTTCGCCCACACCCTGCACCCCCCCACACTGCCCCGCCGAGCCCCACGATGTCCTCCCTCCCACGACTGCCCCCTTGTTGCCTGACCCCCTACCCCAACTAGCTACGTTTGAGCAATTCAAGTAAGGAACACGGCTCGCTTCATCAAGTTCTCCCAAGGATTAAATTTTTCTTAGGGAATCTGGCTTGATTTTTAAAGTTAAGTTAGGGACCTTTAACCATAGTAACGAGTTCAGGTCTGAGCTATTAGAACTGGTGTGTTCGGGACAAAGGAACGACATCTCATGAAGCGGTAGAGCTTGTAACGGAAACACGACTGGGCGCCAAATTTAAAAATTCATAACCGCCAAGTTCAAATTTGCCCCGTGACCACGCTGTGATAGGTGGGTACAGAGAGCTCTGATAGGTGGGTACACCACGCGCGTGAACACGTCAGTTCCTGTCTCCCACTGAGCCCCGGGCTCTATAAAAGCTCTCACATCGCGCCCGCTCGGCCAGTTGCTCCGGATCTCGCACATACTGGTGGCAGGAGGCGAGCAGCAGTTGGCGTGAGCCGCAGTCTGTCAGGCCAACGGCCGCCAAAGCAGGTAGGTGACCATGGAACTAAGACGGATAAGAAGCTAATCCTACTTGATACTTACTACAACATAATTAAAATCAGGACTGGCGTATAGCTTGGGCTCTGTCCTCAAACCTTGGTACTGAAATTCAGACAAACTCCTTCCCCCCGGGGGGGAAAAGTATTTCTTTTAATAGAGGATTTTTTGGTTTGTGTTAGTGATACAAATTCTACTACTGGGGAAATGGGAAATGAGGATATAGAAATACTAGTGGTAGTATAAGGGAGCGGAGACCTGGAGGGTAGAGGGCGACTGGGGAGGACATATATATGGCATGTTATACAGAGAGATCAGAGAAAGTCTCTCTGGCGAGATGCATAAAGGCCTGATAGGTGTAAGAATTTGCCGTGGGAGTTGGGGATGTGGAAGCCTGATGGATGAAAGACCCACCTACGACAAGAGTAGTGGGGGGAAGGGCAGAGGAGTCGAGGCCTGATTGGTAGATGACTGGCTAAGGTGCGAGTGGTGGGGGGAGGGTCTTGGTCCTGCGGACTAGAAGCTGATTGGTTGAAAACTCGCTGAGGCGGGAATGGTAAGGGGCGGGTCTAGAACGTCACTGTGGAAGAACGCCCCTCCCCCTGACAAGCTGATTGGTGCAAGACCTGAGGACTAGGAGGTGATTGGTGGAAGATTTGAGCGGGAATGGTGGGGGGCGGGCCCAGGCCTCCTAGTGGAAGAAATCTTGGGGACTAGAAGCTGATTGGTGGAAGACGCTTAGGCGGGAGGAGTGGAGGGAGGGGTCGGAGTAGAAAGCGTCTAGGCCTAGTGGATCTCCTGGGAACCTAGAGGCAGGAGTAAGCCGGTGGGGTGGACGGGAGAGATCAAAGCCTAATTGGAAGACTGGCTAGGGGTGCGAGCAGTGTAAGCCAGAGGGAAGCTGAAGTGGGGAGTGGGGTAAATAGGTGGTGGCCTAGTCTGGTTAAGACATGTCAAGAGTGGGGAGTAAGGAGGTAAAGGAGGAGGTTCAGAGTCTACTACCTTGGGCATGAGGCAGTAGTAAGAATAGTGAAGTAGGCAGGGTCAAAGGCTAGTGGCAGTGTGGGGTGGGGGCGTGAAGACCTGAGTGATAGAAGACCTGCTGGGAGCAAGAGTATTGGGTAGGGGTGGGGGAGGTGGAAGAAGAGTTAGCACTTGCTAAAACTTTATGGTGAGTAAATTTACTTGAGGGCTTGTGAGCAAATCATTATTTTTCTTGCAGGTCCCTGTAACACATGGCATTTGGGGTGACAACGTGAGGGGCTGCCTTTTACTTTGGGGTTTCTGATGGATCTACAGAGAACCATGGGGGAAGGTGGGGTAGATGATAATGACTTGTCTCTAGTTTTCTCCATCTAGGAAAAAGTCTGCAACAAAATAAATTTAAATATTTCAAATTTCACAGAAGAAAGCTTTTGGCTTTAAAGTGAAGCTGCTCCCAAAAAATGTAGAAATGTCTCATTGGTTCTGAGTACTGGTTTTCTTAAAGTCTTTGTCTTGACTACAGACATGAAGAAATACAAAAAAGAGCCTGGGAAAATCTATGTCCGGGAAGATGATTGGTGAGATTTTAAAAGTTCTTTTTTCTCTTAATCTGTTAGTGAAATATTTCTTTTCTGAAAAAGTGCATTTTCTTTTTTTTTTTTTTTAGTCTGAAAGTGTATAACTTAGTTATAAAATGAAAACTATAAAGAAGGATCTTAGAATCTAGTAATGCACCCTCCTAAAGAATGCATGAATCCTCTGTATAACATCTTTATTAGTTTCTAGGAGCTCACAAGTGCATGAAGCAGCACAATGCATTATGGAATATGAAATTTCTAGAATGTTCTCCCTTCCAGTGAAATTCAAACTTGCCATTAGGCAACTTCCACCCTATCGTTGACAGTGCTGACCTCTAGAGGGAGACAAATGAAATATTTTTCTTTATGATAAACTGAGGTATTTTAAGACCACTGTCCGTCTCTATTTCTTTATTCTGGAATACTGCCTGTTTTCCTCTTTCACTGTCAAGCATGTAAGTGTATGGGAGAAACTACACAGAACAGAGTCTGTAAATATATTCAAATACATATGAAAAAATTGTTTAAGAATAATATTATTTAAGTTTATTTATTTATTTCAGTTTGACCAGAGAGGGACAGAGAGAGCGAAAGCAAAAAAGCAAGCCTCCAGGTCTGGGAATCGAACTGCAGTCAGCCATGTGGGAGTCCCGCGCCTTAGGCACAATGTGAACTGCCAGCCCCAATGAAAATTTGGTTCACAATAAAAACATTTTTTTAAAGAATTATTTTATTTGGGACCAGCAGTTAGCGTAATGGCTATGTCACTGAACTACCATGTAGCTGACCGCGGTTCGAGTCCTGGACCTGGTGGCTTAAACTCACGCTGGGCACACATGCATGCGTGCCCAAGATCCCGAGAGGAGAATGGAGAAGGGATTGCGGCGTGGCCATCCCCCCTGGAGAGTGATTTCTCGCTTTCTATCTCTCTGTCTGTCTCTTTCTGGCGAGCGCACACGCCCTATATTAATTTTTTTTTAAAAGTTTTTGCTGTGGGGTGCATGTACTCGCCAGAAGGACAGAGGGAGACAGAGAGACAGCAAGAAATCACCTGCCAGGGGGGATGACCACTCCACAATCTCTTCTCCATTCTCCTCTTGAGATCTTGGGCACGCACGCACGTGTAGGCACCTGGCTCTAGTTTAAGCCACTGGGTCCAGGACTTGAACTACGGTTGACTACGTGGGAGTCCAGCGACATAGCCATTACACCAACTGCTGGTCCGTAACTTTATTAATTTTTTAATTTGACCAGAGAAGGACAGAGCGAGACGAAGAGAGATGGAAAGCGAGAAAGGAAGCCGCCAGGTCTGGGACTCAAACCTCAGTCGGCCATGTGGGAGTCCTAATGCCACCTGCCGGCCCCAAAAAATGACATTTCAAATCAGTGGAGAAAAGAGGAATTACTCAATAAACAATTTGAGGATAATTAGCTGACCACTGGAACAAAATAAGAGTTGAATTCTTAGTTCATCATTCCTTTTACTGAAATAAATTACATGTGGATCAAATATTTTAAAATTAAAAAACACTAAAAATGCTAGAAGGAAACATAGATGAATATTATTTCTATTAATTTTAGAGAGGGAAGGTCTTTTTAGGTTTGATATCAAACAAAAGCATAAAAATGGCAAATAAAAAACTGGAGAAAGGGACCAGTAGATGGCATGATGGTTAAGGCACTGGACTCCCACATGGCTGACTGTGGTTCAAGTCCTGGACCTGGTGGCTTGCTTTCTCACTGTCTCTCTAATCAAATTAAGAAGTAATAATAAATAAAAAATAATTCTTTATTTTTGTTCGTTTTTTTAGAGGTTTTTGCTATAGGGTGCGTGCGCTTGCCAGAGAGACAGACAGAACACGAGAAATCACCTCCCGGGGGGATGGCCACGCCGCAATCCCTTCTCCATTCCCCTCTCGGGATCATGGGCATGCATGCACACGTGCCCGCTGTGAGTTTAAGCTGCTGGGTCCGGGACTCGAACCGTGTCAACTACATGGGAGTCTAGCGGCATAGCCATTACGCTAACTGCTGGTCCCTAAAAAATAATTCTTAAAAAAACCCAACAAATATTTGTATAATGATATAGGGGGAATTTTCCTTACTCTGCAAAGAACTTTTACAAATCAATTATTTTTTTAAATAATTTTTTCCCTTTTTAAAGAATTATTTTATTTAACTTTATTTATTTTGAGAGGTTTTTGCTATAGAGTGTGTGTGCTCGCCAGAAAGACAGAGGGAGACAGAGACAGAAAGTGAGAAATCACCCCCCGGGTGGGGGATGGCCACGCCTCAATCTCTTCTTCATTCTCCTCTCCGGGTCTGGGGCACGCACGCACACGCGCCTGGCCTGAGTTTCAGCCACTAGGTCTGGGACTCGAACCATGGTCAACTACATGGGAGTCCAGCAACATAGCCATTATGCCAACAATATGTCCCTTAACTTTATTTATTTAATTTCTTTCTTTCTTTCTTTCTTCTTCTTATTTTTTTTAGAGGTTTTCGCTACAGGGCGCGTGCGCTCGCCAGACAGACAGAGAGAGACATAGAGACAGAAAGCGAGAAATCACCCCCCAGGGGGGATGGTCACGCCACAATCCCTTCTCCTCCATTCTCCTCTCGGGATCTTGGGCACGCATGCACACGTGCCCGGCGTGAGTTCTAAGTCACCGGGTCCGGGACGCGAACTGCGGTCAACTACGTGGGAGTCCAGTGACATAGCCATTACACTAACTGCTGGTTCCCAACTTTATTTATTTTAATTTGACCAGAGAGGGACAGAGTAAGAGTGTCCCTTAAATGGGTTGCCTCTCTATTTTTCTTCTTGATTTCTTTTTTCTCACTCTCCCCTATCTCCCACTCTTCCCACACTGTCTCCAGTATCCATAACCATTTTCTGTGCTACTATATCCTCTAATCTTTCAAGTGCAGACAGTACAAGGTCATTAACAGATTGAAGGGGATTGGGAGGGGGACTTGGTACTTTGAGAGCAGAAGTTCTACTGAAATACATAATGCAAGAGGTGGGGAAATGGTTTTCAATGATGGTCAGAGCCTAATTAGTACTCCGATACCAGCTAACTAGTCTTTTCTAGTGTAGGAGTCTTTTTTCTGTTAATATTATCAGAAAATAGTCTTGATGCTATGTAGATACTATGTTTTCTTTTTTTTTTATGTTTTGCCACAGGGCACATGTACTTGATGTAGAGACAGAGAGGGAAAGTGAGAAATCATCCCCCGCTTCCCCCCTCCCCATTTTCAAGTCACTGGGTGCAGGACTTGAACTGCTGTTGGCCATGTGGGCATCCAGCATCTTAACCACTATGCCACCTGCTGGCCCCAGAAATACTGTATTTAAAAAAATTGCCCTGTTGATGTTGGCAGGTGGCATGGTACTTAAGGTGCTGGACTTTGACATTGCTGACCACGGTTCAAGTCCTGGACCTGGCGGCTTGCTTTCTTACTTTTTCTGTATCTCTGGTCAAATGAAATAATAATAATTAAAATTAGATCTTTTAAAAAAGTTACCCTGTTATACTGAGTTTAAAATGTAAACATTTTAGGATCAGAAAAGTAAATGGGTTAGCTAGTGGACTAGCTACTGTGAGCTATAAATCATGATATGATAAGATTATCTATGGTGTATCCAGTCTCCAGCAGTGAAGCGATAGCTTAGTGCAGTGTGGCTGCTCTGGCTGGGTTTTGGATCTGCATGCTGAACGCCTGATAGTGGGCTATCTATTGTGTTTACATGTATTTACATAGGAAAACAAAGAAAAAAATGACTTTTCCAACAACCCAGCCATTGGCTGCTGTTGAGTAGGTGCCATCTGGGGAGCTGAAGGGTCCGGAGCAAGAGTGCTTTGGCTTCATCTCAGGCAGTGCCACACAACTGTTTGGTAAGCTCTTGTAACAGCTGAAGCAGTGTGCCACAGGGCAGTGGAGAAGGAACATTGGGGCCAATGGCAAATTGTGAGGTGGAGAAGCAAGAGGTTCACTGCAGGAAGCGGTTGCTGCTTTGGTGTCATCCTCGGTTGGCTGTCCATGAAATAGACTTGAGTACCGGTCCGTTTATCTGGATTGTAATGCCAGTAAATTGGTAGAGACTGCCAAGTCTCTCTAAAAGGGGAACTCCTAGCCTTTTTGCACTTTGGATTTTTTTGTTTAATTGCCAAAGGGCATATGCACTTTCCAGAGAAAAGGACAAAGCACCTTCCCAACAGGGTGTGGTCACACTGCAATCTCTTCTCCATTTCTCTATCCTGTCAGGATTTGGGGCACACATGTACATGTAGTTCATGTATTTTTCAAATCCTTAGAGCTGGGATTTGAACTACAGTCAGCCATGTGAGATTTGGCTTCCTTAATACCTATATTTTGGGGCTGGTCCACCCTTTTGATTTTTTTTTTTTTTTTTTTTTTTTTTTTTGAGAAAGATTTTTTTTTTTGAGAAAGATTTTTGCTGTAGGTTGCTCCCTGGAGAGACAGACAGACAGAAAGTGAGAAATCACCCCCTGGGGGAATGTCCATGCTGCAATCCTTTCTCCATTCTCCTCTCAGGATTTTGGGCACACGTGCATACTCACCCAATGTGAGTTTGTTTGTTTGTTTGTTTTTTAGAGGTTTTTGCTATAGGGCGCATGCGCTCGCCAGACAGAGAGAGACAGAGAGATAGAAAGTGAGAAATTGACCCCTCAGGGGGGTTAGCCACGCCGCAATCCCTTCTCCATTCTCCTCTCAGGATCTTGGGCACGCACGCACATGCGCCTGGTGTGAGTTTAAGCCACCGGGTCTGGAACGCGAACGGCAGTCGACTATGTGGGAGTCCAGCGACATAGCCATTACGCTAACTGCTGGTCCCCCAATGTGAGTTTTTTAAGCCACCAGGTTTGGAACTCAAGCTGTGGTTTATGTGGGAATCCAGCGATGTAACCATTATGCCATCTGCTGATCCTGACCTTTTGATTTTTTTTTTTTTTTAAAAAGATTTTTTTTTAAGAAAGATTTTTGCTGTAGGGCGTATGCTCACTGGAGAGACAGAAAGCGAAAAATCACCCCCTCAAGGGGGATGGCTACACCACAATCTTTTCTCCATTCTCCCCTGGGATCTTGGACATGCACGCACATGGGCCTGGCATGAGTTTTAAGCCCCTAGGTAGACTATGTGGGAGTCCAGCAATGTAACCATTAAGCCATCTACTGGTCCCCTGACCCTTTTGATTTTTAACTGCAGTCTCTTCTTCCTCAAATCTGGCCCCTTGCCCTGGTCCCCTTTCTCAGGATTCATGCCATTGAATAGAAATAAATTGCTTGGCAGAAAACAGGCTTCTCACTGATAGCGATTGCTTCTCACCTAACGTTCTTCCCCATCTTTGATTCAGTAATAAAGACCAAGCAGCTTGTTGCTTCTAATTCCCCCCCCCCACCTGTTACTGTGATCCTAATTTCATAAGCATTTAAAGCCCTTAAAACTTCTTTGTGTTTCAGAAACTGGTTATTCTCTTTATGTATTTGATACTTTTGACATTTAGTTGCTCTTTTAAAAATTTATTTTATTTTATTTTATTTTTACAGTAGCATTCTTACTGTCGATTTAACCAATGATGAGGACCATGAGCCCAGTAAGTAGAGACCATTCAAAGCAGTTATTTACATTTTGAAGTGTCTTTGTAGAGATTACTGAAACGTGATTTGGGATGTTTTGGCATAAGCTGGTCCTAGGTTTGTCTCCTTCAGGGCTCTCTCTAGTTTGGTGAAATGAAGTTTATTCCCTGCTGTTAGGAGCAGAGGGAATTCATAGTGCTTTTCCAATTTACTTCCTTTGCCTTATGACTCTGGATCTCCTTACTTTTATTTCCTCTGAATCTTTCATGGAAGATGTAAATTTTAAGTTTATTTCTTTTTTTGAGAGAGATTCCATGGGAGATGTTATTTTTAAGTTTATTTCTTTTTTTGAGAGAGATTTTTGCTATATGGCATGTGCACTCGCCGGAGAGACAGAAAGCAAGAAATCATCCCCCAAGGGGGATGGCCATGCTGTAGTATCTTCTCCATTCTCCTCCTAGGATTCCAGGCATGCACGCACATGCTCCCAGTGTGATTTTGAAGCCACCAGGTCCAGGACTTGAACTGCAGTCAGCCATGTGTGAGCCCAGTGATTTAACCGTTACGCCATCTGCTGGTCCCAAGTTTGTTTATTTCTTTTATGAAAGAGACGGACAGACAGCTACCCTTAACTGAATCTTCACACCATGATCCAATCCCTAGCCTTGCAAGTGGCATCTTGAGGTAGACCCAGGCCATGAACCTGGAGCCTTCCCATAGAGAAATAGAGGGAGAGAGTGGGAGGGTGAAGAGAGAGGGAGAGAGGGGGGAGAGAGAGAGAGAGAGAGAGAGAGGAGAGAAAAAGAAACAGTGAAAGGGAAAGCAAGAAATCACCCCCTGGGGGGGCCATGCCACAATCTCTTTTCCATTCTCCTCCCAGGATCCAGGGGCACGCATGCACATACATGCACCCAGCCTGAGTTTGAAGTCACCAGGCCCAGGACTCAAACTGCGGTCAGCCACGTGGGAGTTATGTGATGTAATTGCTATGCCATCTGCTGGCCCAGGAGATGTAAATTTTAACTAACTCTAATTGAACTCATGCTTGAGATGTTTTCTAATGCCCTGTTTCTTTCTCTGATTTAGTTGTGGCCAAAGCAGAAGCACTGAAGAGAAGGGTCAAGTGAGTTAAAAAAAAAAATTATTCAAACCTGGCTTTTTAAAAAAGTTTATTTTTATTCATGATCGACAGCACCCTGACAGAGTCTTGGTGTGTGACAAACACCTCCTGTTGACAGGACGGAAAGATGTAGTAGAAAGATGGAAAACAGGAATACTGGAAAGATTGAGTAGTTCCAAAGAAGAGAATACATGACTGTGGGAAACAGACAGAAAATTGACAAACGATCACATTCTTTGTAGAAAATGTGCAAAACCACCATGAATAGTGTTGCGCTCATATCTCTCTTTTGTCTTTCCTTGGCTCATCACTCAGGTATGTGTTGATTGATTCAGATTCTGAGGATGGATATGTCTGCAAGAAAAAGAAAGCTAAGGTGGCTAAGATGAACATCAAAGGCAAGTATACTGTTCATTTAGAGAAGGAGCTGAGCTCTGAAGCCTCCTGGCACAGGGTAGTTTCAGGATTAGAGCGAGTGGGTGATTATTCTGTTTATAATCACTTTATAGCGAGTGCCACTGTTGCTTTCTTTCTGAGGTGCTGGCATCAATTGTTCTTGTTTTTTTCTTTTTTCTTTTTTTTTTTTTTCAAGTTTGTTTATTCTGTGAGGGAGAGTCAGTCACCTCCCAACACACAGGGCTTCACTCTGCAGTCCACCCCTAGTCTTAGCCCATCAGATCATGGGTATGTAACATGTACCTGGCAGGTCCAGGGTGGTCTTGGGATGCAAACCCAGTACTTTCCTATCGTGGTTCAATTGTCTTACTGCTCTGAGCTTTAATTGCAGTTCAAAACCTACTTAGTGGGCATGAAGGCAGGAAGAACAGAAACCTGAGCCTTAGGGATGGTCTTTTATCGATCTTTATTTGCTAAATTCCAGGTATAGGACATGATATAGGCACCTAGTTGAGGTTTGATGAACTGAATTCAACTAAAATTCGGAGGCCCTTAAAGAACTGGCTGTTTTTTTTAACAACTATCCAAGAGCTACCATTGACCATAATTTCCTAGCTGACTGGGGAATGTTAGATCAAGAAAAGGAGAGGTGACTTGGAACTCTGGTTTCCTGTTATTTCGGTCCCCTGGAGTTTCTTTCCTTTCTCCCTCTCTCTAGTGCTAGATAGCTGTGCCTAGCAGTAAAGAGGCCCAGGAGCAGAGTAGGAGGTATCAGACATGACAAACTATTCTAGTAGGAAGGGAACTCCAAGGAAGGCAGCTTTAGAGCAGAGCATGAGCAGTAGAGCCCAGAATTCATTGCCATAGGCCACCAGTTGCTGACACCTTGATTTGGAAGATATGTTCCTTTGAGGGTAAGCTCTCAGTGGTGCCAGTGCTTACCTTTCTGACCTATTGAGCCTAACTGAGCATCCATCCCAGCAACACGGATGAAAGCTGATCCAATTGGGCTGTCTTTGTTACTGTTTTCCATGTGGCATTTCTTTTATAATTGTAATGAATTTAGTTAAACTTATGGATAAAAAAGGCCCAACAAGCTTTAAAACATACTTCTAACCTTTGTCAGTGTAGAAATCATTGCCTTTTTTTTTTTTTGAGAGGTTTTTGCTACAGGGTGCGTGTGCTCTCTAGAAAGACAGAGACAGAAAGTGACAAATCACCCCCCAGGGGGGATGGCCACGCCGCAATCCCTTCTCCTCCATTCTCCTCTCGGGATCTTGGGCAC